CCTTTGCCCCATCTCCTGCTGCATGGGGGCTGCTGCTGCCCTTTGCTGCCAGCTCCAGGGATGCTCAGACCGCAGCTGGACAAGGCATCCAGGACCCTGCTTTGAGGAAGGCTTGGCCCAGACAACCCCAGGGGTGTTCCCAATCTCAGCAACTGTGCAAAAAGAAGGGGAAATTGGGAGCTGGCGACAGCCTGCAGCACTGGGCACCCTCCAGCAGAGCCCTGGTCCCACCACTTGGCTCTGCTGTGCCATGGCAGCCAGCTCTGCAGGATGCGGGGTGCGTCGCGACCCTCACCTTGGAGGGGAACAGGCAGGGAAGGCAGCGCTGCATCTTCCTGCCTGGGCCCCAGCAGGCTGGAGGGCTCCAGGGTGAGCTCTCCAGGGTGAGCTGCAGGGCGGTGATGCCTCCCTGGGGTGCCTGTCGGGCTTCAGCTAGGTGCTGGCATGGAGGGGGAGGATGTGGCAGGTCTGGGCGCTTGCAGACTTCTGAGTCCTGGGTCAGGATGTGGCCATGCAGTGACACAGTGAAGGGGCTCCGTCAGGGACATCACCAGCTGTTGGTGACACCAACTGCCCATGCTTCCCCAGGCCGGGGCAGAGGCAGAGCCCAGCCCAGTGGGTCTGTCTGGGAAGTGATGCTGCTGTCGGGGAGCAATAGCTGCCGCTGGGATGGCATCTCCCGAGAGCCAGGGAACCCCCATCCTGGCTCTTTGGCACGTGGATGATGGTGCAGAGCAAGCAAACCCATGGCCAGTCTCCAGCCCATAGGCTGGGTACAGCTTTCTAGGGCACTGGGAGGTGACAAACAGAGCTTGTGACTTCTCTTTGTCCCAGCGCATGGGACTGTACGTCAGGTACTTGGCAGAACGAGGACTGTGCGTGCAGACAAGAGCTATGGACATGGTGGCCAGGAGCCAGGAGCCTCCAAACCCTTCTGCTGCGGGAAGGTGCATGCTCCCCTGCAGAGCAGCATGGCCTTGGCTGCACAGTGGGGGTTTCACGCAGGCACTCCGCATTTCAGGGGGCCGGGGACAGCCCTGTGGCCACCACGCTGCTGCGCCAGCACCATTCAGGGACCACCTGAGACAGTCCTTCGCAGCGAGCAAGTGCCGGGGTCCGGCGAGGGTACAGGGAGCACTCGGGGTGCAGGAGAGGTCTGGCTGGAGAGCAGGGACCCCAGGGTGCACCCCGAGCCCGGCTGCCTTTCACCGCCCCGGAGGCTCCACTTCCTCACCGCCCTTTGTATTCTGAGCACAAGCGCCATTGACATGGGGCTGGAGCACAGCCACGCATTCCTCAGCCTGGGCCAGGGCCTTTGTGGCCCCGTTTTCCAGGGCGAAAGTCCACTCCCTCTGTGTTCCCGGTGGCAGAAAGGCCCTCTTTGTGCATCTGGCAGCGTGCTCCTGCGGGGCCGGATTGGCACTGAGCAGCCCCAGCTGGGCAGGAAGCGGCAGGGAAGGGGGCGAGGGGGGCTCTGACAAAGCGGTGGGGTGGGACACGCAGGGTTAAGTGTCCCGCAGCAGGCATTAACCCTCCCACTGCTGCCAGCCTGCAGCCTGGCTGCTCAATGAAGCCGGTGTCACCCTGGGCTGGAGGATGGCGCTGGGCCAGGGGCAGCGTGTGCCCCTCGGGGGCTCAGGCAACACATCCTTGGGGTGGCGGGGACAGCGTGGGCTGCTTGGCAAGGCCAGGCTGTGATGCAACCGTGGCCCCTCTCCTCCCCGCACCAGGGCAGAGGGATGCTGGGCCATCCCTTGCAATGGGAACCTCAGGGAGCACAGCAGCCCTTGGTTGCTGCCAGGAGTAGCCACTGCATACCCAGCTGCCACCCTGTCACCCTCGTGGTGCCCCCCTGTGCGAGCCCAGCTCAGCAGGCAGCACAGCCCAGGTCAAGGTCAGGCGTGGGCTGGAGCACTGCGTCCTTGCAGAGGTCCAAGGGCATTGATGCCTTTTTCATGCTGCACCCCATACAGCGGCGCTGGGGTGTTGGAACGGTGCTCACCGCACTGCGAGCTTCCTCTGCTCCTTGCCTGTCTTGCAGGTCTCTTCCAGAGAGCCATCATCCAGAGTGGCTCCGCACTCTCCAGCTGGGCGGTGAACTACCAGCCCGTGAAGTACACCAGCATGCTGGCCGACAAGGTGGGCTGCAACGTGCTGGACACGGTGGACATGGTGGACTGTCTGCGGCAGAAGAGTGCCAAGGAGCTGGTGGAGCAAGACATCCAGCCAGCTCGCTATCACGTGGCCTTTGGGCCAGTCATTGACGGGGATGTGATCCCAGATGACCCGGAGATCCTGATGGAGCAGGGCGAGTTCCTCAACTACGATATCATGCTGGGGGTCAACCAGGGTGAGGGACTGAAGTTCGTGGAGGGCGTGGTGGACCCCGAGGATGGCGTCTCGGGCAGTGACTTTGACTACTCGGTCTCCAACTTTGTAGACAACCTGTATGGCTACCCCGAGGGCAAGGACACCTTGCGGGAGACCATCAAGTTCATGTACACGGACTGGGCTGACAGGGACAACCCAGAGACACGTCGCAAGACTCTGGTGGCCCTCTTCACTGACCACCAGTGGGTAGAGCCGTCGGTGGTGACGGCCGACCTGCATGCCCGCTACGGCTCCCCCACTTACTTCTATGCCTTCTACCACCACTGCCAGAGCCTGATGAAGCCTGCATGGTCCGACGCGGCCCACGGGGACGAGGTGCCTTACGTGTTCGGGATCCCCATGATTGGCCCAACAGAAAAAAAAAACTTCTCCAAGAACGACGTCATGCTTAGTGCCGTGGTGATGACCTACTGGACCAACTTTGCCAAGACAGGGTGAGTGGGGATGGGTGCTGTGCCTGGGGGGGTCTGCACTCACTGCAGCTGCACCCCTTATTACCATGCTGTGGTGGGAGCGTGTCATGCCTGGTGTGGGACACTGAGCCCCCCCGTGCTCAGAGGTCCATGTGCTGCACCTTCACTGGGCTCAGGGCACCAACCACACAGTGAGAAGCTGAGAACGCAGCCAGCCCCTGGGGCAGGACCCAGACGAGCTCAGGGGTGGGGAGGTTGGTTGGCCATGGTTATTGTGGGTAAGACTTGACCTACGGTTGGGGTGCTGCCCAGCCATGCAGGACCTTTTGCCAGTCCACCCTGTGCCACCACTGGCAAAGGTCCCCCCAGCCTCCTTCTCTGTGTCTGCCTCTCCCTCCTCGCCTCCTCGGCTCTTCCTGTTGCTAGCTCTGTTTTGCCTGTGTTTCGCAGGGACCCCAACAAGCCCGTCCCCCAGGACACCAAGTTCATCCACACCAAGGCCAACCGATTTGAAGAGGTGGCCTGGTCCAAGTACAACCCCCGTGACCAGCTGTACCTGCACATCGGGCTGAAGCCACGGGTACGTGACCACTATCGGGCCACCAAGGTGGCTTTCTGGAAGCACCTGGTCCCCCACCTGTACAACCTGCACGATATGTTCCACTACACCTCCACCACCACCAAAGTGCCACCGCCTGACACCACGCAGAACTCCCACATCACCCGCCGGCCCAACGGCAAAATCTGGACCACCAAGCGCCCTGCCATCTCACCCGCGTACAACAGTGAGAACGGGAAGGAGAAGTGGAGCCCAGAGCAGGAGGCGGGCACCCTGCTCGAGAGCCCCCGTGACTACTCCACCGAGCTGAGCGTCACCATCGCTGTGGGTGCCTCCCTCCTCTTCCTCAACGTGTTGGCCTTCGCTGCCCTCTACTACCGCAAGGACAAGCGCCGGCAGGACACGCACCGGCAGCCCAGCCCCCAGCGTGGTGCCGCCAACGACATCGCCCACGCGCCTGACGAGGAGATGCCCTCCTTGCAGGTGAGCCAGGGTCACCATGAGTGTGAGGCTGTGCCGCCCCACGATGCCCTGCGCTTGGCCGCTCTGCCTGACTACACTCTCACCTTGCGGCGCTCTCCGGATGACATCCCGCTCATGACCCCCAACACCATCACCATGATCCCCAACTCACTGGTGGGGCTGCAGACCCTGCACCCCTACAACACTTTCACTGCCGGTTTCAACAGCACGGGGCTCCCGCACTCACACTCCACCACCAGGGTATAGCTGCCCGCCGCCGGCGCACACGCATGCACGCACGCACACGCACCCAGCAGACAATGGAAGAGGGACCCGCCCGGGCAGCCCGCCGC